TCATGTTGATGTATTCATTCGTACTCATCTGCTCACACAGACTCATGTTCGTGCTGCTGTTGTTTGACGTATTGTTTTTGTACTGCTAGTGTTGTATTCTTAGTTTAGCATATTTCTTAGTTCAAATCTTAGATCTTATTACTGTTTTTCTTTACAATTTATACTTTTGTTGAATGTGACTGTGTACAAAATGTCGTTCCACCACAATAAAGAAAGCCTTGACCTTATTCATCCATGTCAACCATGTTGAACCACACTCCAGACCAGTAGGTGGCGGTAATGCACAACTACAGGTTTCTGCCAACCAACTCAAGAAGAAGAAGAAGCAGCAGCAACAGAAGAAGAAGAAGCATCTCTGTAAACAGATGACCATATCTAGGCGTATTACTTTTCAAATCGTGTTTATTTGCGTTTCAACCGTATTTTAACAAGCGTATAATACAGTTCATCAAACAGGAGCTAGCAGCCAGCACCCGCTAGCATTCATGTTAGCTTCTGTTGCTAACGGTATAGTCCGTAAACTCAGCGCGTCGACGTCAGTGTCGTGAGTTCAGCCCACGAGTTGAAGGACTTTCAAAGTGGCTCTTCACCATGTCCGACACTGTTCTTCAACTCGGTTCTGGAGTCGTCATCATCCTTGTGGTTTGGATCGCAGCTCTGGTGTTCGTGGTGATCCTGCTGAGAGCAGATGGGTCTGCAAAGTGAGTGACACGACCTGCTCACACTTTACTCACCGTTACTCGCACTCTACTCACCGTTACTCACACTTTACTCATTATTACTCACACTCTACTCATTATTACTCACACTCTACTCATTATTACTCACACTCTACTCATTATTACTCACACTCTACTCATTATTACTCACACTTTACTCATTATTACTCACACTTTACTCACCGTTACACACACTTGCAGAAAGAAAAGCTTTGCAGAGAGTGGTGAAGGCTGCACAGAAATCTGTTGGAATCAGTCTCCACACCATCACAGACATCTACACCTCCAGATGCAGGAAGAGGACCACCTGCATCATGAAGGACCCCACCCACCCAGCACACACACTTTTT